ACAAAGACCAAAAACTTGGTTGGGAAAATGCCATGTGGTAAGTAAAATTGGTATAATTGAGTTATGGTCACTCAACTTCTACTTAATTCTACTTAAAGCCCCCAAACTTTCAATTCAATCAATTTAGTCCCTAAAACTATAAACTAAAGGACACTAATTTTTAAATTATTCACTAAGGTATATGGGGTGTTACATTGTAGGTGCTGGGTTTGATTTCGAACCCAGCAGGCACTGGGTTCCATTTCGAACCCAGCAACCGTTGGGTCAATGTATCTGTTGAGTTTCGTTGTTTATCGATCTGTTGTCTGGTGGGTTCTGTTTCAAACTCAACAGTCGTTAAGTCGATGGATTTGTTGAGTTCGATCTATTTATGGATTTGTTATTTGTTGTGTTATCCTTAGATTCTTGCAGGTGCTGGATTCAATTTCGAACCCAGCAAGCGTTGGGTTTTGTTTCCAACCCAACTGCAGTTAGATCGAAGGATCTATTGATTTCCATCTGTTGGTTTGTTGTGTTATTCTCGGATTTAATATTAGGAGATGTTAGGGTTTGCAGAAGGCGAAAGGAAAGGGAGAGGAAGAAGAAAGGGAAAAAAGAAAAACAAAGAAAGAAAAAAAAAAAAAGAAAAAGAAATTTTTTAAGGTAATTTTTGGCCATCTCATTTTTTTGCCACGCTGTATATCCTAAGTGTCAAAATGTTTTAATATGTCATCCTTTTCCCGTCAAGTAACAAGACACGTAGGCGGATATTTAACGGAAGGACCAAATTGGGGTTAAAATGGTAAACAGTAAGGACTAAATCAGGGATTTTTTTAGTTTAGGGACCAAATTGAGGATCTGTACAATAGTTCAGGGACCAAAAAGAGGTTTTAACCTTTCAAATACAGCATCCTCATTCCAATTAGCAGCATTATGTAAAGTCAATTTTATCATGAAGCAGCTGGTCGACCGAATTCTCACAAAGAACAAGATTGACCATACCTCTGCGCTTGCAAAACTCGTAACTCCTACAGAATGAGTCGGGCTAAAGAATGTATTGAGTACGAAAAAATATATGGAACAAAACCCCCACCAATTGTAGGCTTGTAACATCTCTTCCACAAACTTTGGACAACATTGCATCAAGCACATACGGTCAACATATTTTGATTCCATTCCTTACCTTAGTAAACTGACCCTGCATTTCCGGATTTTGTCTCTCAGATTTGTTGCTGTTCACTGGTTTTATTGTCTTTTAACCAACATTTTCAAAGCACCAAACTGTTCCTAATCTGTTCATCTATATTCAGTGCAAATTTTTTTTTTCCAGAAAAGCTTGGGCGAGTTAGTAATGACTAATCTAAAAGGCTTAATTTGGGTTAGAATTAGGGGTTTAACCATCTGCGGCAGGCAGCTAACAATAAAAAAAAAAAAAATCCTTATTCAGTGCAAATTCTCAAAGCGCACTGTTCTTACACCATTCATGTTGAGTTACGTGGCTAGCCGCGTTTTCAGTGACACAAGAAAAAGCAAGCTTAAAGGAAAGGGGAAAGGAGGATCATGGGGAGAAGAGAAAGAGGAGGGCGGCATGGAAGAAGAGATGATGGAGGCACAGAAGAGGAGTTTGAGGATCGAGGATTCGGGGCAGGTCTTCTCCCTCATCTTCTCCCACTGCCATTTGGGGTGATGATTGTCATTGCAAATCTTATTGGGCTGTAATTGCGAGTCCCATTCCTCCAATGACCTGGCGACATCGGTGAAAAATGAGATACGATCCCACTGGCCACATCAGCCACGGTGCGAGATGACCCGAGACTGAAATTAATTGGATAGAGAAGTTCCTGAGCAAGAAAGAGGGGTGACGGAGGAGAAGGTGGAGAGGGTAATACGTGCCATGTTAAGTATTTTAGAATATTTTTTACAAAATTTTAACTTAGTAACTATTTTGTTTTCATTTTAGTGTTTGAATTGGAACAAACGAAGCTCAAACCCAAAGTTGCTGTTGCGTGTTTGGTTGTTTCGATTTGGGTTTAGCACTGTCTTTATGGTTAGTGTGAATAATTGTACTCTTTCTGAATTTGTCTCTTATCTTCTATATATAGCCTTCGCATATCTGGGGAAACACCTGTATATTTCCAATGGTAAAATTTTGCTTTACAATTAAAAAGGGTTTAATGTAAGAAATGATCCCTTTTCAAGTGGTGAATTCTACTTTGCTTCACTGTTTCTTAAGGAGTTGAGTTTTTTGGGTTGAAGAATTATGCTCTCTCTCTCTCTCTCTCTCTCTCTATATATATATATATATATATTGTTTTATTGTTGATTGTGGCTCATTCTAATCTTTTCTTTAATCATTCTTAAATTGGTTGTGGATAGTTTATCGTTTTTCCATTTGATTCGAAGTAACACCAAGATGGCAATTTGAATTTTAGTTGACTTCCATAAAAGCAATTATTGGTTTCTGTGTGTGTGTGATTTTATGACTGATTATTCAGCTTCTGATGAGATATTGAGGATGAGTTCTGCGTGTTTAAGAGTTCTTCTCTCTTTTTCTGTCTAGGTGACTGAGTGCAATAGGGGGAAACTAGAAGCTAAATCTGCAATGATGGTTTCAAATGGGGTTTTGATTTAGGCATTTTCTGTTCTTTCTGAAATAGGCCCTTTAATCTCCTTCTCTAATGGTCTCATTCAAGATGTTAAAACAAGAACCGTCTAACTTAAAATATTTAATAAATAATGAATCTTTGAACCATACAAATTGGCGTTCTTTTTCTTTGTATTCTTGCATATATATATATGGTATGGTAGATGACAAATAGATTTTTCTGAGGGAGCTTTGCTGTGGCAAATGTGTTTTCAGCAGAAAAAACCAATGGAAGAAAATTTGTGAGCTTATGTTTTGTTCTTTTTTCTCCTCTTTATTCTTCTTTTATTAGTTTCTCATCTCTTCTACTTTGGTTTTTGGTGAGCTTATGTTTTGTTCATTTTTTCCACTTCATTCTTCTTTTATTAATTTCTTTGGGTTTGCTTTTTCCCTTTATGTTTCTTGCTTTTTTTATGATTTTTTTTATAATGTATGATTTCTTTGCTAGGGAAGGCACAATGGCAAACAAAATGCAGTTTTCATATGAATTTCTCCTTTAATTTTTTTGGGGATTTTTATACCATTTGGAGCGTGTGATTTTACTCAAATTAATTACAATTTTAAGATTTAAATGGAAGAATTTAAGGTGCTCTAGACTTTTTTAGTTAATTGATAGAGCACCAAAAATGAGAAGTACTGCTTGAGTGGCCAAATCTACTTTTCTTCTGCTTCTTTTGAATCATGAAATCTGAGACTTTGATGAAATGTGTCATTAGGGGGTTTCATATTTGATGATTAATTCTGTTAATATTGCTGTATTCATTTTGCCAAGGGTTGTAGCTTATCAATAGGTTTTCTTTTTTTTTTTTCTTTTTACAATTTATCTACAACTACAAGTTGAGTTCATTAATGATATAATGGTTGTTTCTTTTCAAAATATAACTAAAACCCTTACAAAAATGTCTGTTGACTCTGTTCTCTTAGACTCAAACATGAGGTTTTCTATACGAGTCTACCCTGGAGAGATCATGGATGCAAATGAATATGGTTGCAATCAAGAGGTTTGTAGTGAATTTATTTTTCTGCTAAAGTCACAAGTGTGAGTGAATATGGTCTTGGATTCACCATATAATAACATTCTAGACTGACTAACAGTTGGTGATTATTTTACTATACTTTTTGGTTTTAGTCATGATTCCAACTTCCAAAACCTTCATTGGAATTTAGCATTTGTGGCAAATTGGTTTCCTTTTTTTCTGCCTGTTGTATTGTATCAACTCTTTCTTTTTCCATATTAATTATTAATGAAATGCATTGTGGCCAAGGCAGTATAATGGTAGGGTTTATGCAGAGGACTCATAAACATACTCCTTTTTTTTTTTTTTTCCTGTTCTAGAGTTTGTTTTCTTGCTTAAGGACAATATCTATTGGTCAGTGATAGGAAAAGAAGAAAAAAGTCAAAGTTTGGAAGGAATAATTCTGTATAACTATTCTAACAGAGTACAAGCTATGAAAATGTAAAAATTTTAAGTCATGCCTGATAAAAGCAATTGAAAGACAATCTCCATTCATTTTCATATTTAGTACAATCAGTTCTCTTGGTCCCCTTTTGATTTTTTTTTTTTTTTTAAATAATGCTTTTTCAAAGATCTGTGTCCATAGAGAAGTTTGATGCTGTTTGTCTTCTTAACCATTTATTTGTCTTTACATGGTAAGGAGGAAAAGTACTTTATCAACAATCACTTGAGCTTTAGAATCATGTTTCACAGAAATCATGTGACTGACTCTGCTCAAACTGTCAGGTTTGAGGTTTCTCCAAACAGGTGTTGTACCAATTTCATGACTGCCTTCGTTCAACTTTTTTCCCTTTTTCTATTATGACCTTTTTTCAAACTGTGTTCTTACTACTAAAGTAGTTTGTATGCAATTATGGATTCTTCATTTTATTTTGCAACTGAATAATCCTCTTAGAAACAGGGGAAAGGGGAGAGGGGAGGGTCCACTTTGAGTGTGGCTAAGGCACTTTTTGAGCTTTAGTTGGAGTTGCACCAGCAGTCTTCAAGTTTTGAGGTTGTTGAAGTTGGAAGAAAAACACAATGCAGGACTATAGTAGAAGCTAAGGGCGTGAATTTCTTAATTATTGAACCCTCCTTCCAATCCACAAGGTGAGGTTCAGTTGGAATTGCACAAGTAGTCTTCAAGTTTTGAGGTTTGTTGTGGAGAGGTGGTATTACTATTACCAATTCCTTAATGATTAAAGCCTCCATCCAATCCATGAAAGAGTCTTTTCTGCTCCATCCTGTTTGTGTTAGTTTGATTGCATTGATTTAAGTAGGATTATCATCTAACAGGGTTAGGTGAAAAGGATGCTGTATTTCTCAAACAATGACGAGAAGAAGGTGAATGAGTTTCAAAAGATTGTTGAAGCAATTGGAGTAGTAGAAGCAGAATGCCTGAGGAGGTTCAGTGGGAGGGTGTTCAGATCCCCTACTTTGTTTGAGGATATGGTCAAATGCATTCTCCTTTGTAACTACCAGTATGTTACATCTATACCTCCTTCTCTTATTACTGTACTGCATATTTCTTAATCAGTCATTGAATAATCATCCTTGGCATGGCTTCATTTTGCCATGGGAAACAGGGATGAGTGAGCAAGGGAATCAATTGGGTTAGCTAGGGTTCATAATCAACAAGAAGGCAGAACGGAGGAGACAATAGAGAGAGGAAATCTGGCACCTAAACTTGCTAGAACTTGAGTCAACTCTTACAGGTGAGTCTCACATTCTTCTTTTTAGGGTTTCTTCATTTTTCTTAATCCAATTGATTTCTTTTTTGATTTTTTTAGAATCGGTGCTTTTGTAATGTTAAAGTTCATTTTTTTTTGTTTTTGGCCTTCTTAAAAGTTCCATTAACTTCTTGAGATCGGTGATTCCCTTGAGTTTGGGGTGAACCATCTGGCATTGATGTTGTGGTTTTTTTTTTTTTTCATTTTTAATTTGCTTTTCATTGGTGTTTTCATACAAATTATATGACAAATTGACAATTTAATTTGATATACATTTATAAATTTGCAAGTTTAAATTGATCATTCATATAGATATAGGATGCAGAGTTATGAGAACTTATTGGCTTGCCTTCATTTTGCTTTTGCTCACTGATCTATGTCAAGTGGATTTTTTGGTCAAAGTGGTTGTTACCTGCTAATTTCTTTCCCTTTTAGAGTAATTCTTTGATGTTTGAGGATGATCCACGGTGCGGGAGAGGAGGAAAATGATGAGTTTAGAAGCTATTTTGAATGATATGCCTTCCGTCAATTATTTGGAATCTTACTTTGGCTTGCTCTACATTTTTCTTCTTTCATTTTGTTGCTTTGGTTGTATCTGTTGCTTTTAAGGTAGAAGAACTAGAAAAAGAAATTAAGGTGTTGGACTAAGGCTACTGAAGTAATGAGAGTTTAGGAGTGGGTTTATTGTCTTATCAAGCAAAAAGTGTGAACTTAAGCTAAATAAGCCTATGTAACTATAATAGTATATCAACTAATCAATTCCAATATATCTGAAGCCTATTTTTTAATTAAATTTGATCTGCAGTTCATGTATGTATCTAGAGCTAAATGAGCTCAATTGTCACGAACCATGGTAATTTAGAAAATTTCCCAGATTCTTTTTATTTATTTATTTATTTCTTGCATTTGCATTTCCAATTAAGGTAGAAATATTTGCACTGCATAGATATAGTAATTATTATGATTGCTTTCAGTGATGTATATTTTTGGTTTGAGCTCTTTATTTATGGATCTTCATTACTTTAACTTCTGACTAAGGGGACATCTATTCCTTTTTTTTTTTTTCCAAAAAACTTTGGTTGTTTTGGTTATTATAATTTATATATA